TCCTATGACCCCAAAAAAAACAAATGCAACTGGACCCATTTTATTCTACAAGCTCTTTGCTTTGTTTCAGGGATTTTAGCTAATTGCCAGGCATAAAATGTGCATTTTAAAATGTGTGCTAAAAAAAGAGTGAAAGTAATCTTTTCCACTTCAAATGACATTTGTGGTGTTCTATTTTCACGTGAAGAGTTCCATGAACATAACTCACAGCTTCTAAATATATAACCTGTTGCTTTTCACTTATTTATTGTCACTTAACAGTGACATTTTCCCTCCCTGAATAATGAGATAACCAGACAAATGGAAACTGTTCCAACCACAGACTGCGTTAAAAAGTCAAGTGTGCATTAAGCTTATTGTGATTCTTACATACAAACGGCTGCCGCATGTTTACTAAAATACAATAAAAAAGCTATAAAAGTGTGGCCATTCATAAAATGTGCACAGGGTGTATACAATGTAAGGCTTTAGAAACATGGTATCCATAATCTATGGTGCCAAATGGATTTTATCAGCATGGAAGATGTTTGCTCATGCACAGATAATAGGATAGCATGGCCATCTGGAATGCAATTGACTGTTTACGCTCCAGCAATATGGTCATATTAGCACACGGTTTATCTGTGTAAGCATGGTAGCTATAGTGTTACATTGTCTTTCTCCTTATTTTTGAAGCCCCACTTCCATAACCTCATATACCTGTATATAACATGATACTGTCTTCCTCTAGCCCTTTGCAGGATGTTATTGTATTGTATAACCTGTTTGCAAGCAGTCCCAGGCTGAGGGGTTGGCAGAAGAGGGGGCAACCTTGGGCACTTTAGCAGCATGGGGACACAGAAACCTATGCAGAATTTGCAATGTATACTCCTGAAGTAGTTCTAAGCTCATACGGGGGGTGGGAGGAATGCCTTTTGGTCTTTTTGGTGCTGAAGAACCTTGTCCTGGCACTGTTTATAAAGTCTAAATGCTTAAATGTTTAAGCTTTTAATCATGACCCATGCATGCAAGAGATTGATACTGCAGGTTATCAGAGGGCTATCCTCATCTACTGTATGTTGCTCAGCACAAAATGGGCCACCATAAATAGCTTGATTCCAGATTGCTATTTTGCCTATATACAACAGGGCAATCTGCAACATGTGGATATCATTGCATTAAGCAATGCTTAGAGCAGGGGTAAACCATTTCACTATGTAGGCACTATGCTCCTTTAACAACACTAGCCACAATACTAACAAATTGCATTTTAAAGTATATGCATGCTCTGAACATGCTCTGCAACCCTGTGTATGTCTGCTGCAATACTGTGCACACACGTGTGTTTGACCTGACACTGTGTACACATGCAGTTCTGTCCATTTACTGCCTGCACATGTATGTCTGCCCTAACACTGCGCATGTGTGCGTGTCTTCCCTGACACTCCATGTCTATCCTAACTGTGTGTTTGTCTGTTATGACAGTGTCTGTCTATCTTTCCTGAGACCACGTGTGCTCTCCATTTGCTATATGTTGGGTTTCTGTGTACTCCATTGAGAGCACAGAATAAGAGCCATAGGGGAGGGAATCTGCCACATGGAAGGGAAATAACAGCTGCAAAGGAGTTAGGTAGGTAGGGTGATGAGTACAGAACTGTCAAGGAAAGTAGAGAGAGAAGTGTTGCATGAGCTCTGATTGTGTGAGTGTGAAAGTGAAACTGAGGCTAGGTTCACACCTCAGTGACACCTGGGACGCGTGATTGTGTGCTAGTGCACACAGCGGTTGCCGCGCGGCCCCATTGGGTGACATCTGCATGGCAATCACTAAAAACAGCACCTTTTTTGTACCTTTTTTGTGTGACACGATGCGCGGCTTTTTGATCCGCCCCGGTGCGACTGGGATACCATTAGAAAATAATGGCACCCACAGCGCAATCGTCTGCGGTGGGCGACTCCGTGACCACGCGGCAATCCGCACAGTTTTTGTGCACGATTTCTGCGCGGTCAAGAGTAGCCCAGGTGTGAACCTGGCCTTAATATGTGCAGGAAGCCTTCAGTACAGCTGACAAGAAGCAGGATGTGCCTTTCTGCTAAAGAGAGCTGGAAAGGAGAAGAGAGCAGAGTAGACAGGAAGTTGCAGTGTGCTTACTGAGGCAGTAAACTGTAGTATATGTGTATGGGCGCAAGAACCCTTCAGTACTTCTGGCTGGAAGCAGGAAATGCTCTTCTCTCTTTATATTATAATAAATAAATGGTAACCTACTCAAAGCATTGCATCCTGCCTGTAAATAATTTATCTTAAAATCACAGAATCTATACACTTGGGCCAGTATAAGTATACATATTTTATACCTGGTAGGTCCATGGGGATTCTCTAAAACACTGTAGTAACTAGAGCTACAGTGTTTTACAGCAATCTTCCAAGTCCTGGTTTAGCGATGTTCTGAGTGACTTTCCTTTTGTTGCAAACACAGAGGGTCCATCATTTGGCACAGCAGCCATTCAGCGAGGCGCAGAAGCAGTTAAGCTACAGTGACGGAACATTTAAATGATTTATCTATCCTTGTAGTTCAGTTACTTGATTAAAAATGGTCTTGGTGGGTTCCTTGGAGGTAGGGACCCTACACGCTTACACTACTGCAAACAAAGGGGTCAAATTATCGCTACCAAATGTCTTGAGAAGCCAAGCTACTATAATTTTAATAGTCAGATCCCTCTGCCTTTTTAGGGATACCAGTGCTACGAACAGTGTTACAGTCAAGTCCATTTTTCAAGTCCTCCATTTTAGTCATATAAGCTGTGGTGTGATTTGTACATCCCAAAGATGTTGCCATATTAAGATTGTCAGGGAGACTACTTCAATCCCACTAAAAATGGATAAATACCATGTAGCTTGATTGCCAAGTAAAAATGTAGGCTCTTAAGAGGGGCCTGTCAGGATAAAAAATGGAAACTGGTTGTTGCTGGCTTGTTTTGGAGGTACAGGCTCCATGGCTGCCATTCTTATACTTGATTCACTGCCTAGTGAGTCACTAACCTGGAACAAGCTTGTGCATTGCAAGTGTATGGACACTTGATAAACACATACTTGTTTCAGGTCAGTGACTCACAAGATGGTGAATCAACCATTGAATCCCATACCTCAAACAAGCCAGCAATGGCAGCTCCTGTATTTGTATGCTTACAGCTTCCTTTACACATGAAAAATATATGTGATGCTAGATCAGCTTTAGTAATTGCAAATTGATTTGTCTGTCATTGTGTTAATGTGCAAGCGATCTCTAATCATTCACTCTGTAGACACAGTAACTGCTTGGCTTTCACATCAGTAAATAAACTCATCTCCACATTCTTCAAACTGGTAAAAAAAACAAAACTTAATGATGGGGTTTGTGCATTCTTGCTGTTGCTTGAGTCTGCAGAAAAATGTTATGTCTAGACTTCGAGGATCTGGTGATTTAGAAAACACAGAGGAGCTCCTTTTCTACAGACAGAAGATTCCTATTATAATCAGGCACTTGCTCTCCTACATAGTTTCTACAACTAGATGGTGCTGCAGACTGAGGAAGTGAACTTGTAAACATGGCTTGTATCCGTTCTTCCTGTCAGCCTGTTTTCCTTTGGAAAAATGTGTGCAACTTTCCCGGGAAGCTTTTATCTGTAAAGGTGGTCATACATTGTTAGATTTTGGTTCAGAAATCGAACACGAAGGATCTTTCAAACAAGGATCGAGGGGCTGATGGTACAGCACCGATTTTCATTTTTGCTAATGTAAATGAAATTTTTCGTACAGTCAGGTTGAACATTGTTTCTCTGACCAAACAAAATTCGATGAATGAGTGGGGTTTTCGTTCATCCAAAATCTCCCCAAGAACACAGCACATACACAAAAGGAAAGCTGCCTAGGTCACACGAATACTGTCTCAGGATAGGTGAAACGAATATTTCCATCATTCATCAAAAATTGGTTTGGAAACAGAATATTCCCTTTCCCTTTCCCTTTGATATTTCCCTTTTAAAATAGAAAAAGAGATTGAAGACACAGAGTCCTCAATCTCTTTTTCTGCAACACCTGTTCTGCATGAACATGAATCCTCTATACTGAGTGTTCCTGTTCATTCATAACTTGCGGAGATAGTATGTTTACCATGTCCACAATCAATTATATACAAGCAGTCAGCGATCAGCTAATTGCTGACTGCTTGTACCACTCTCTATCCTGACTCGCTGTCACAGGAGGAGGAGAGCTCGGTCTCATTTGACAGCTGACTCCTCCCCTGCAGCGCTGGCTACTCCTCCTGTGACAGCGCACAGTTGTCTCCACCCCACACCACTCTCCATCCTGATTTGTCACAGGAGGCTGAGGTGGGAGCTCGGCTTCCTGTGATCACAACGATGACAGCGCTCTCCTCCCCACCCCGCTAAGCCTCCTGACAGTTTCTCTCCTCCCCGCTGGACGCTGCGCCGTGTCAGAGGAGAGTGCACCACAATTTCAGCCGAAAGATGGTACTTTCGGCATTTTGCCTAAAGTGCCATTTTCTGCCAATCTGTTTCGGCGGCCGAAATGTTGGTGCATCTCTACCTTTATGTATAACCAACTTTGCAGTATTAATGGTCCCTAGAATTCTGGAGCTAACCACAGCTCTTCAGGATACAATTAGTTTACAAGCCATGGATCCTTTTCCAAAGTTATGTTGGAGGAGTAATGAGCCAAAGCTAGACCCACACATACTACAAAGAGCATAGAATAAATAATGCAAAAGCAGAAACAAATTAATGTAATATATATTTATTGGGTGGCAACAATGGAGCAGTCATGTTGGTAAGTATATGTGTAAGTACAGTGAGTTTGTGTGTATGTACAGTATATGTACACTATAACTTATATGTACTATAACTATATATGTATAAAAATA